CATTGCTCTGGGTCTAGAAGGGTCTGGAGGGTAACTCCTGAGAGGGGCGGCTGAGGGAGCTGGGAAGGCTCAGCCTGGAGAAAAGGAGGCTCAGGGGGAAATTCTGGCTCAGCACAACTCCCTGCCAGGAGGGGACAGCGGGGGGATCGGGATTTCTCCCAGGGAACAGGGACAGGAGGAGAGCTCAGGCCTCAGGCTGGGCCAGGGGAGGCTCAGGGTGGGCAGCAGCAGGAATTTGCCCATGGAAAGGGAGCTCAGGGATTGGCAGGGGCTGCCCAGGGAGCTTTGCAGTGCCCATCCCTGGAGGTGTCCCAGGAAGGGCTGGAGGAGGCACCCAGGGCTCTGGGCTGGGGACAGGGTGGGGATGGGGCACAGCTGGGACCTGATGGCCTTGGGGGTCTTTTCCAACCTAAATGATTGTATTTGATGATTCTCACTACACTGATTCACTTCTGAATCTCTCTTCTAGGACTGAATTCAGTTTGGATTTCCTGCTTGCAGCTTCACTGACACCTGCTCCTGGTTTTCTCCTGCCTCCTCTCACTGCCATCTTTCTCCCCTGTTCTTTTGCATAGACAGGCTTTATCTGGAAATACACCACTTCACCAGAATTTACTTCTCCATCCATTCTGAAAAGGTCTTGAAAGCTGCAGAAGCCTTTCAAGTAGCTAAACCCCTTTTGGAATATCTTAGAAATGTGTAGCCACTGCCCACAACTTCCCAAAGTGGAGCAACAGTTGATCAAACGAGCCCTGAGCACCAGTCCTCACCTCAGCTTTGGCTAATTCCATTCCAGACATTCAGAACATCTATTTTATTTATCACAGCACAAATCTATTTGGAATTCTGTCTCTGGCCACTTCTGAATGAGTTTTTCAAGTCTTCCTGGAAATACAAATATACAAAGGGTACCCATAAAAATGCTCAGTCTAAACATTTGCTAAAAGTCTTTCTAATACTGTTGTTATAGAGAGAAGCAAAATTTGTAATTCTTGCAATGGGTAGTGGGGACCTTAAATAACTAAACAAGCAAATTAATTAATCCCAGAAACTGTACACAACTTCCCAAAGATAATGGGAAGAAAGGAAGTAAAAAGCAAAATGAGGGCAAGATGACAGAAAGGAAACACTACAGTCACACTGCAAGGAATACTTAAGCTCTAATTAAAAGTAATGTTAAAAATGCATTAGTCATTAACAAACAAGGTCACAGGTCCAGCTGCCCAAAGCATGATCACAGAAAATAAAAATCAGCAGTGGGAATGTCAACAAAGCCCTTCAGTGTGGCCATTTCAGATTATTTGCATTGCTAATTGTTACAGGCATTTATCTGAATCCAATCCCTTCACCCTGATGGGATCCTCAGAGAGATTCAGGAAATGTCTTTTGCACTAATTTTAAACAAGATGTTTCAGCAAAAAATTTATTCCATCAAAACCCTTTGGATCTCAACACTGAAATTGAAGGTTCACAACCCTCTGTTCTGTAGGTCATTTGCAGCAGTGACAGTCTGAGCCCTGAGTTTCAAACAGTATTACTAAAAGAATTAGGTTAAGAGATGAGGAAAAAAAAAGAAAAGTGTATTTTTAGCCAAGATAAATGTGATGAACAACAAGCTCTGAAAGGAGAAGGAAGCCTGTTCAATATGAGAAGTTGCTGAATATATTTTTGTAGACCAGCTTTGGCACTGGCTCTTTCAAGGTATTTTTTTGTTTGATGAGTTTTCATGGCTCTGTGGAGTAAAACCTTCTATGAAAGTTTTCAAACTTGTTTTTGTAGGGATAAAGGTCTTACAGCAACCCTTCTATTTCCAAAAAAAATAATCCCATATTCTTAATATCCATATGGGAATCCTTCCTGATGGGAAGGCTTTAATATCAACCATGTGCACTCAGGTATAACAAATGCCTACACAACCAAACATCCTTCTGCAGAAATTCATTATAAATGTTGTACTTTAACGTTGTGACCAACAGCAAACACTTTTTCTTCTCTAGGAAAAAGAACTTTTCTTCTTTTTCCACTTATCACCATCCCACGCTCTTCACAGTTCCTTTGCCTCCTTTGCAGTATGCTCACTAATTTGTTTTTAATCAATTACTGACCAAATCAGAGGGGGAAATTGTAGTTTTGTTTTGCACTATGAAGAAAATGCTGGATTTAATATCCCTTTGTGGTAAAAAATGTGTTTTCTGTTTTAAAGTGCTAGGTTTGATTACAAAATTTTAGTGTGTTTTTTTTTAATAAGTCTGCTGCAAATTTGCCAGGATGAGGGTGTCATCTGGGGAAGGTATTCACCTAATGCAAGTTAAGCCTTTATTTAAAACTTAGGCTAGATAAATAAATGTTGAAATCTGTAAAATCATTGAAATCCCAGCTGTTTGGGTGAAGCCACAGGCTGGATGAGCAGAGGCAGCTGAGCTGGGCAGGCAGGTCAGCAGAAGGGAGAACTTTACAAGCTATTTCTGCTTCTGTGCCAGGAGGGAAATGGACCTGGCTCCTGCAAAACTAATGAGTTTTGTTCAGCTCACTGACTCCTCCAGAAACCTTAATTACAGAGGGACAGAGCTTCAGGATCAATTATCCAGATTTCAGTTCACAGAGACAAAACTTCCCTTTTTAAATCAACTTGGTATTTCTTTTGCAAAAGCCAAGGGCAGCTTGGGCTGGTGAGGGCCCTGCAGTGAGAGATGGGGCTGAGGGAATAGTTCAGTACTGAGAGACTTCCTCAGACAGGAACATTCAACTTCTTTAAGTGAGGAGCCTAAATGAATGCCCAGCCCCTAAATCTGTCTGCAAATGTCCTTCTCCCAGCCATGCAGCACAAACCCTTGAGCTGCTGCAGAATTCCAAAGCAGAAGCAGCCAAGATCTTTTCTTGGGCCCTGGAAATGCATCCCTGTCTTTCCTCCTGTGTTTCCAGACAGAAAGCCTGCTGCCCTACTTATCCTGGTGTGTTTGCTGCAGGAATCCTTCGTCTCCAGCTTTACAGACCTGTCAGGAGCAGATCTGAATTCTCAGTGTTTATTGAGTTGCCCTTCCCATTTGGGGTTGGCTTTGCAGTCACCTTTGTGAAGAAGGTTTTGGTGCTTTATTAAAGGAGATGGTGAGTGTTTTTTGTGGCAGCAGCTCACAAGGAGCCCTGATGCTTTTCTGCATCCATGCACATCTCTCCCTGGCATGGCTGGGTGTGAAGAGAGCAGGGCACTCACTCCAGGCAACAAATCCAAACCCTTCAAGGACAGCTCTGACTGAATACTCACTCCAGGCAACAAATCCAAACCCTTCAAGGACAGCTCTGACTGAATGAACCACTTGAAAATTTGCTTCTCCCCTCTTTGTCTTTCCGAAATCAAGCCTCACTTAGAGTTTGGAAGATCTGGATAAGCTAGTAAATTTTCAGCTATTTGGCCAAAACACAGCAATGGATGAGGGAAAACTTTGGGAAAGCATCTTGGAGCTTGGAATTCACTGGGAAACTGGCAGTGCTATGGGAAAGCTCACTCACTTGAGAGGCCCAGACATAAGTTCAGATACACTTTAAAACACTGAGGGGGGCAGCAGAGAAAGAGGTAGGACAGGCTCAAACTCAACAGACTCAGTCAGGATCAAGGGGAACAGCCTGGAAGTTCAGTAGAAGCCTGGGGAAAGTGAGCTGCTGTGTGAACTCATGTTTAGCATTAGAGACAGGCAAATACGTGATTCCAACTGAGCAAACTTGAGCTAAAGCATCAGGAAAGGTGGGATAATAGGTTTGGTTTAGAAAGAATCAAGATCAAAGTTTCACTAAGACAGTGAGGAAAAAAACCAAACACTTTTTTTCCTCAAATCACTTCTTCCTAAAAACAGCTGACCTACAGCTAAGAATATTCAGGACAGCACAGATGAGTGTGTTAGAAAGATGCTACCCAAGGTCACAAACATGGGAAGAACCTGAATGACTGCAGAGTCTGAGCCTGGAGTGCCAGGACATAGGAGAACAGCTTCAAACTCACAAGGAATAGGTTTAGATGGGATATGAGGAAAAAAATCCTTCCCTGTGAGGGTGGGGAGGCCATGGCACAGGTTGAACAGAGAAGCTGTGGCTGCCCCAGCCCTGGAAGTCTTCCAGGCCTGGTTGGATGGGGCTTGGAGCAAGCTGGGATAGGGGAAGGTGGCCCCTCTGACGCCCTCCAAAAGTTTCCCTGCTCCCAGCAATCTGCCTTTGGGAGCAGCTGGCGCTGCTCAGGGGCAGGAGTTTATGCCCTGGTGCTTGTTGGGAGACATGAACTGTGAGATGATCTGCTAAAGCTGGATTAAGAGAGGCTTTGGAGTCTGCTGGGACATGTGGAGCAAGAGTCTGGGTTCCCTAGACATGGCAGTCTTAACACTTTCATTTTTCCCTCCTGTGCCTTTCTAAAAATTGCTGGCTCAAATACCAGGATTATGTATCTTGCATTTTTGGGGGGATTGTAAAGCCACTTCAATTTATTTCCCATATTGGAAGCAGTGTTTTTTAATGAAAAGAGCCCAAATTGAGATGCTGAAGTGTTTCAAACACAGAGCATCACAACAAAACACTTTCAGGATGGGGCTGACAATCACAGTTGCATAAAATGGGGATTTAACTCTTTTGTAGCAGCTTCATAACTCATCAGTAAAATGAGATATAAATCAGTTTTCCTAAGGAGCTGGCACAGAATATTTAGCTGCTCAAAGGGTTTATTGTAGAAAATATATTTACCAGAGAGAAAATGAAGTCTGGAGGAGAACCAGCTCTGGGCTGAATGAATTAAAAAAGGATCTTTCACTGCCTATAAATCAAAATTATTAGGGCTTAATTTTTAATTCTTAATTTTTCTGAAGTGGGAAGAGGACCTGCTGCTAAAACCCAACGTGAATGCAACGGGCTCGTTTGTTGAAAGCATGCAATTCCAAACCACAGGCAGCACACAGACAATGGGAGCAGGAGCCCTGCCACACACAGACACACAGACTGCACTGAGAGCCACAGAGCTTTACCTTTCTGGAGCTTGGATGCATTGTCCTGGATCCAGCTGAAAAGATTGGCAAAGTCACAGTCACAGACCCAAGGGTTGCCCTCCAAGCGGATGGTCCGCAGGGAGGGCAGCGCTTCCAGGGCTGCCACGTTTAGGCTCTGTAAGTTATTGTCATTCAATTCTAACACTTGCAGCTGGTCCAGGTTCTCAAAAGCAGCCTCGTCCACATCCACCAGGTTATTGTTTCCAAGGCTCAATTTTATCAGTTTCTCTGCTGATTTGAATATCCCAGCATCGAGCTGTGTTAAATTATTGTAGCTTAAGTCTAAATACACCAGTTTGGTAGAACTGCTAAAAGTGCCCTCTTCTAAAGAGGTGAGGGAGTTATTCCTGAAGTCCAAATAGACTAGATCTCCATAAAATATAAAGAAGTCAGCTGGTATCGCCTGAATGTTGTTATCAGCTATGAGAAGTTTCCGTACATCCAATGGAAAGGGATTAGGAACACTCGGGAGTCCTTGATCCCGGCAGTCTATGGTGTGGTAGTCCATGCAGCTACAGACAGCAGGGCAAAGATGACCCCCAGGCAGGAAAAGCAGGCAGGCAAAGCCAGCAAAAGGCAGGAGGCAGGAAGGAAAGCATGGCAACATCGTCAAGGATCTGAAGGCTGTGATGAGCACCACTTCTAGGAGAAAGACATTTTGCTCAGCTGAGCAGGAGTGCCTGGTACTTGTGTGTGTGTCTGATTGTATCCAGGAGATCACATATCATCACAGATCCGATAGCAGCAGCCTGGAGGGGGAGGGAGGAGAGAGGGAGGGAGGCAAATGTGAGGATTTACACTGTCAGAATATTATGATGCTGTACAGGGTGAGGAAAGCGATGATTGGGTACACGGAGGATCTTTCAAAGGACTCCCTTGCTTTTGTAAGCTAAAAAAAGCCCAGAGCCTGTTTGAATATTTGCTGTATATTCCAGCAAAGGGGAAATCACACCTGATCCTGTGACTCTGACAGCAACAGCTTCTGCTCAAAAAGCCCTTCAGGTAAAAATCCCTGATGAGATCACTTACTGTGTTTGTTAGCAGGAGCCTCCCTCAAGGTGACCAACAGCTCTGGAAATGCAAGTGAGGGTCAGGCAGTGTCCTGAACACCTGCTAAGGATGGTTTCCCTTTTATTTGTAAATCAGGGAGGAGAAGGGGGGAGCCTAAAGACAAGGAGCTGTGCTTTGTGCTGTTTCTGGATTCCTCAGCTCTTCGAGCAAGGCTGTTCACATTATCTAAATATGACTCAGTATAACCAAGAAGAAACAGCAGCAACAAGGAATATGGTCTCCAAAGTGAGGGGTTTTTCCTTCCTGTTTTGGGTGTTTTAATCACCCAAAAAACTTCTTTCTGCTACTGCACCAGTAATGTCTGTTGGGCCACATAAAAGCACAAAATGTGGATCAAATCTTTAGCTGGTTAAAATGGAGCGGGTTTTCTTCATTTTCAGGGGGTTGAAATATTTGCCAGTCAATCTGCCTGTCTCCTGTGGGACAGCAGAAATGATTTTGCAACAAGGCATCTGTGTTTTCCTGCCATCCTCAAACCCACACCCACAAAGGCGAGTCCTCAGCCAGCCACACGCTCGACTTTTAACTCCATCCCTCCCTCTTTCTGCAGGGTGTGTAAGCAGGGAGACTGGAGAGCTGGGGTCTCACCTATGTGCTTGTGGTGGAAGATTTTTCTAGAGACAGATGGTATTTGGGTGCTGTGGTGGAAGATTTTTCTAGAGACAGATGGTATTTGGGTGCATGTATCCTGATGAAAGGAGCACAAAGTCAAATACCTTTGGCAAGCTCATTCTTAGGTCAAGGAATGGCCAGAAATTTTGATTTGAGGTGGCATTTTATAACTGGATTCTGGCTACCTTTCATCCAGAATAGGGGACAAAAATGTCCTTCTCAGAAAGCCTTTTCTCCCAGATACCTGTGCCTGAACTCAAACAATGACAGCAGCATCCCTCACCTCTCCTCAGAACATACCTAGAAACACTCAGCAGCTGGGAGGGAACAAAGAGGGAGCCACACTGTTCTCAGTAGCACCACTGACAGAAAAAGATGAAATAGGCACAAACTGAAAACCATCTGAACACAAGGAAACACTTCTCTTACTGTGAGGGTGGCCAGGCTTCCCAGAAAGTGGAATATCACCACAAAACCCAGCTGGGGACAGCTCTGGGCAAACTCAGGCTCTGCCTGAGCAGGGGACTGGACAAGCTGATTTCCAGAGGTCCCTTCCAAGCTCAGCATTTCCCTGCACAGCTCTTGGGAAATGAGCATATCAATGTTTACACCTTTGAGAACCTCTCTCCCATTTTGCAACACACCTTGTTTCTAATTCATAGGTCTTTTAGCTGAACCACCTTGAGACAGGCTCTGGATCCCTCCCATAAAGACACATCCTCCTCCAGGTGCCTTTCATGTCTTAAACTGCTCTGAAAAGACCACCCAGAGAGAAATGGGCACAGCTGCCTCTATAAACCACCAGGGCAAAGCCCAAATAAATTCCTGAGGTGATTATTTAAAATATTTACCTTTAAATTACAGAGGAAGTGGCAGTTTGACAGGCTACCTCCAATTAGAAAAACCCCAAACATGCAAAATAACTCTTGGGGTCAGGATTCAGTGAATTGGCATCAAAATTCTGCAGTTGATATTTCTCATGCAGAACTGATGCTTTTTAAACTCTTAGGGCTTGGAAACAATTGCTCCTGCTCAATCTACTGGTTTTCTGCTCCTAATTTAACTAAGGCTTTAGGTCAGAGATAAAGATGTTTATAACACAGGAGGGCAGAACTGATTTGATGTTTTCAGTCATGCAATTTTATATGGAGACATTCAGCTCTCTATTAAGAGCAGCTGTTTATTCACAAGATTTAAGGGTCTCTGTGGCTCCTCCTCTGCAGACCCCCCCCTTTTTTCTGTCAAGTGCACAGAATCAGGATGTGACATTTCCATTTCCAAGATGCCTCAGCCTTCACAGATGGGAGACTGCAGACAATAAGGCATAATTTGTGAAAGTTCCAAGAACACGCTAGTGGCAGGGGTGGAAAAGGACTCATCTTCCCTAAGAATTCCACCAGCCCTTGCTAAAACTTCCACTCCTTTCTTTCCAGAGCAGATCTTTTGCTCAGGGGCTCACCTTCATCCCTTCCCCTGCCCCCAGCCCCACCCTGAGGCGTGTTCTGCAGCTCCTGTGCAGCTGGCAGTGCCTGCACTGAGCTTCTCCTGCCTGAGATCCTTGTCAAGGGCTTGGCAGGAGATGAGGGATTACTACCAGGCTCTGGATATTTTGGGATAGGTATCCCATAGGTTTGTGAAGCATCAGCCCTCAAGCAGCCGGGGAAGCAGAGTTTCTCTGCCAAAGTGTGACAGCTCTGATCTGCTGTACAAACCCAGCTGCAGTGTGCCATGGGCTGCTGCCTTTCTATGCTCTTTTGGATTTCAGAGACTTTCTTCCTGACCCATCTTTCCCTGTGCAACATTTCCTGTTTAATTTTGTCTTTTTTAGCTTCTGCTTGTTTCTGTTTCTCAGCTGTTTCCCTCACAGCACAGAAATCCTCGTGAATCTTTTCGAAGCCTCGTTCACTTGCCAAACGTTTTGTGCAGTTTTGAGTAGCAGGAAGAAAGAAAAACTTTCTACCTAAAAAATATTAAAGCTTTGCTTTTTCAAGTTGTTTATTTTCATCAGTGACAGTATCCTGGGGGTTTGGCTGTGATGTGCTGAGTGCACAGCACCCTCTTGTGCCCTCGGATACTGGGCAGCCACAACTGCTCTGCTCATTTCTGGTGAATTATTAACTAATTTTACCATATTTCTACAGTTTGCCTGTCTCTCAGGTTCCCCTCTTCCTCCTCCTGTTAAAGAAACCCCACTTGCTCTGTATAAGAAAATAAAAGACATAAATCAGGTGGTGTTCTTATGTACTTCAAGTGGTAAAACACAAAAATGCTCCAGTGAGTAGTCTCAGAAATAAATGGTTTTCATAATCTGTGCTCCTGCAGTGCTCCCAAACAAAGGCTCACAGCTTTTCCACCCTTTTTCATACTTCCAGTACTACATTTTAATTCATACAGGTTAGAAAAAGCACTAACTTCCCAACTGGAAATCGATGCCTAACAAAAACCTTAAATATTCTTCCACACCGCTGGGATCCCACATTGATCAGATTTTGACTGTCAGCTGATTTATCTGTGATTCTGCCTTCCAGGCTCCCCTGAAGGGACAGAATGGGTTTGAAAAACATACTTGTAAATCAGGGTAACAATTCCAGTTCTAACTGAAGATGGATTTATTTTGAATCCCTCTGTGGAGAACAAAGAAGGAAAACAAATTTCTCTCCACACCTCCCAGTAGCAGGAGTTGGAGAAGCACAACAGTACGAGGCTTTGGACTAAAAACAATGATATGGATTCACATCCTTTAATTTTTTATTCAGGAGACTACCAGGAGAAAATAAATACCAGGAGAAAATAAAGGCAGTGACAAGGCACACTGCTCCTGGCTCCTTGGTGTGCTCAGAGTACTGTATCACATCAGGCAGTAAGAAACTAAGAGAAAAATCATTTACTCCTGATAGTTTCCATCTTTCCATTGGAAACTTCCAGCACTCCCCTTAAAAGTGCTCAAAACTTCCCCAACAATTTGAGTAAAGGAGTTAAAAAGAAAGAGCAATCCCTGTGCAGACACACGTGAAGGATTCGTGTCTCAGGCAGTGAATCCTCCCTTGCAGGAGACCCAGACTGGAAACTGCCCATCCTCATGCACATTTCTGAGCAGCTAATTGAGCATATTTTTCCATGAAGGAAGTTATTATTCCAGGCTTCTGCTTCATTGAGTTAAAGCACGTGTCATGGCCAGGCTGCAGTGCCAGAATGATGGCAAAGGGATTTCCTCCTCATTATCAGACATCACAAGGTGTCCTGGGCACCAGTGCTTGAGCCTGAGTGACCAACAGTGTGTTAATCAATTCAGCAAGCACTGAAACCAAGTGCTAAGCAGCTTCTCTGAACAGAAATCACTTTTTTTTTCAGTTCTTTACCATTTTGGCTTTAGTGTTGTTTTAGTTTTTTTTTCTCTTGAGAAAAATTTTCCCCTGCTCTGACTGGGCAGTTTTATGAATGCAGCCAAGGGATATCTCTGGGCAGTTTTCCCTCTGATCTTACATCTAAAAAGGACTGAAAAAGCAAAAGTCTAATAATTTATGAGATGATAGAAGCTGTGAGCTGAAGCTCTGTGTTACACCTTGCCCAGTCCTTCTCTGCTGCTGCTTCTGTGCCACTGGGAGGGAAATTACATCAAAATTAATCAACGTGGCAGCAGCAATGATTGAATTTGAAAACTTCAGACACTGCAGTTCAGCAGACAAATGAGACCAGCCTAAACCCATCAAAAGTCTTCCATCATCTGCCCCAGACAGCATGGCTTACCCTGACATGTGGTCACTCCCTTATTGCAAAGCATTTACAGTCACTAAATGCACTCACAAGAGATTGAAGAGTGTGAATTATATTTCCTTTTCCCCTCAGGAATGAGTTGGTCTCCAGCTTCTGCAGTGTTGTCTGCTTGCCCTCTGTAGAGTTTATGTACTGGTCCAGAATTACCAGAGCTTTAAGCAAATTAAAGGCAACTAAAAGTCCTCCTAAATTACTGACAGAGATATGCTCATGTTTATCCTCTGCTCCTGATGTGTGCAGTGGAAGGAAAGGTGGTATCAGGGTTCCTCTCAAATCACAGAATCATCTCAGCTGGAAATGACCTTTGAG